GGGCTTGTATCGAAGTTGTAGCTGTTCGAACAAGCGTGACAAATTGGTTCCTGATTTAGCAAAAATTGAAAATCGTGATATACGGACGGGTACGGGTGAGGTTCGCGGGCGCGTATATCCTGGTGGACCTCAGTCGTTTCAAACTCTGGAAACGACATAAGCACTTCATCGTAGGCAATGATGCGCGCCATGCCCAGCATACACGACGTACACGCGTCAATCCTGTGCGACGTGCTGCCGAAGAAACTGCGCATCGTGCGCGAGCGTAGCTGTAGAGAGAAGAGGAAAAAATCACAGACCGCGATTTTCTTCCAAACCACGCCTGCACGTGTCTGCGCTAAACCCGATGGCACAACCCTGCATGAGCCCCTAACCCCTTTGATCCACAACCAACCCGAGCAAGCCTCACCCACGCAACGCAACCACCAACGCGCATCCCCAACACCCACCCTAAATACCCCACCCCACATGACTTCCTCCAATCTCGCGCCGCATTCCCTACGATGAAAGATCGCGATCCTCAAATCCCATTGCACACCGGCATACCATGCCCCGCCTTCCGCTGCGCCTCTTCCGCCTGCCGACAACGCGAGCGAAGCGCCGTCGACGCATGTACACCATGTTCTTCCTCGTGTTTGTGATGGTGGCTTTTGTGCTGCCTTTTTACGTCATTTACAAGCCGCCGAATGCGTTGATACGGTATTTTCAGCGGAGGTGGCCGGATGTGCTTTGGCACGTGCCTTTGGCGAAAACAGCGGGAGGAGAGAAAGTTGTTGCTTTGACGATTGACGATGCGCCGTCGGAGTACACGAAAGAGATTTTGCAGGTACTAGAAGAAAATGATGCGCACGCTACGTTCTTTGTTATTGGAGGCCAGGTCCCAGGAAGACAAGATGCACTCGAGGCTCTTGTGAAAAGCGGTATGGAATTGGGAAACCACGCCATGCACGACGAGCCATCTCGTTCTCTCAGCCCTGAAACCCTCACTGCAGAAGTAAAACAAGTGGAAGGCTACATCAACGGCACCTACGACGCAGTGGGGAAACCGCATCCGCCACGTTACTTCCGACCTGGCTCGGGTTTCTTCAGCACGAGGATGAGGGCGCAGATTAGGGAGATGGGGTACCAGATGGTGCTGGGTAGTGTGTATCCTCATGATCCGCAGATCGCGTATCCGGCGGTGAATGCGCGGCATGTGCTTAGTATGGTGAGGGAGGGCAGTATTGTTATTTGTCATGATCGGAGGGGGTGGACGGCGCCGATGTTGAGGAAGGTGTTGCCGGTGTTGAAGAGGAGGGGGTATAGGGTTACGACTGTGTCGGGGTTGTTGGAGGCGGCGGGGAGGGGGTGAGGTGTGAAAGCGCAATGAGGTTGCGGTATTAGGAAAAGCTGCGCCGGAACACGAGGGGTCGGTATCGAGGAGATAGCGGTTGTGTGGATCTTGCATCCGTCGTTCGAAACGGTAATGCAGCATCGCGGCCGCATCTGGAAGTCCTCTCAGATAATGAGTTCCGATCCATGGCTTGTCTGCTTCAAACTGAAACCACAGTGCAGACTGCCACAAAACATCGCTCTTCTCAGTATCACGAGCAGGACCAACACCGAAAAAATTGTCAGCTGCTGTTCATACACCATGAGTACACCTAGATACCGCAATCACGGTACAGCAGGTCTTATATCAAAGGAATCGGTCGGCACACGGGTAGCAGGCCAACAAGGCCAATACATCATCCTTAAGGAATGACCATTCTCTTCAAAAGCTTTGCTCCATCTCCGTCTTCTTATATTGTCCATAAGTTTTGCCCGAAAATCCCAATCTCTCCAACTCCAACATAACCATTTCTCCGTTCATGTTCAATAGACAGCCTTTATTCTAAAACCAGAGTAAACCATTTGGTCACGATCCTGACGACTGACATAACCGCAGACATGGGAAGCCTCACTAGCCGTGTTTATATTACACTCATCTTGGCTCATGTTTTTTTCCTGCTACTAGTAGAGGCATTTATAAAACTCCGCTCGCAACACGATGACACTCACACTAGCCCACAGATTCTTCTAGACGCAATCTACAGCTGCGATCTTGATAAGCAAGCCTTGGTCGTCTTTGCAGCTGCAGGCAGCGAACATATCTAGGTGAGGTATCCGGAAAGACCTTCCAGGTAGCTCGTGGCACGAAATTGTTCAACGTCATCGTTGTCATGCTTCGACATCACTATCACGGCTTCGCCGCAAGATAAAAGTCAATGTCGTCAATGTCATGGAAAGCAAGTTGGATGGATATTTTGCATCACAGCTTGTCTTCGATCACTAAGATTTTTGTCGGTTCTGTTGTTATGTCATGCGAGAATATGGGAATGACGAAGGTTGTGCTTGAATGTATTAACGTCTCCATGCACGCAACGAGTTCAAAAGAAAGACACATGGCACCTCACAGAATAAGTCTGAGCAGCGTTCGTATGCCAGGATAGGGCTATGTGCTAAATATTACCGAGACTCAAGGACATTACTTCATGGATGTGTGTCACAAGCACGTTCATGAAAGCACGAACAAGACGTCATCACAATTGCATAATCAAGATGACTGCATGAATTATTTCCTTCATTGAGGTATATTACATCGTAAGAAGCAAGCCCTTTATCAAGCTTTTTGCTAGCTCATATCATCTGCATCATTCGCTGACTGAAGCATCAATCTAAACCGCCAAAGATGAGAATCCCTAAACTCCTCTGCCGTTATGGGGCGAGACGCTTAGTCGAAGGGGTTGGTGCGGGTTCCCCAGTAGGTGAGGAACATGCTGAGACCGACGGTCTCGAGAACGCGGGCAAGAGCACCAATGGCGATGGTGTCCATGGGGCGCTTCTCGGTGACGACCTGGGAGACAATCTGTTGACATGTTAGTGGATACTTGCGGAATTTGGTTGACACGTGGGATGACGTACGGAGGGAGCGGCGGAGGCGAAGAAGATCAGGGAGCCGAGGTAAGCAGCACCCTTGTAGGTGAGAGTTCCGGTAGCGTTGATCAGAGCACCGACACCGTAGGCCTGGATACCAGAGCCGAGGACGGAGCTACCCCACGATGCGGCGGCGGTAGCGGCCTCCTTGCTGTGGAAGTACTCCTCCTTGGAGTTGGCCTGCTGTGCGCGGCGGTATGCGTCACCGAAGACGGGGCCGAGGACAGCGAGGGAGACGGCGTGGTTGAAGGCCGTGCCGAGGGCGATGGCAGAGGGCTTGACGGGAGGAAGGTCTGAGATGATTTGTTAGTCAAACTCTTCAATTGCGATGCTCAAGCTGTCATATAGTGCGCAATTGCTCGTGCAAGTGCGGGCAGCAGCTAGAACGTGGACTGAGTGAATGCTTACAGTGTAGGGAGGCCATTGTGATGGTAGTGTGTGGTTTGGGATGAGGTTATGGGGAGAGTAAAGTGAGTTTGCTTGTGGTGATGGTTTGCAGGAGACCAGGAAGACGAGCTCTTTTGTAGTCGCAGCCGCAGCGAGGGCCTGCACCTGACATTCGTATGACGTAGATGCCAAGGCCCCACTCAATCGTGGACAATCGAACCAGAACCTGGCTCAGCCCGTCCCAATTGATGCAAGTTCCATCCACTTGCCCTCGTGCGGGCCTGGACTGTACGCCATAGCAACTTTAGCATGGCCACAGCACGGCCAAAGACTGGCTTTTCGACTTTCGACGTGCTTCCTTCGCGCGTCTCTCACTCAGGTACGTCACTTGGGAAGTGGAGTGAGCAGGGAGCTCGGACCCACTACCCCATCTGCCAGCAATTTGCGGCTGCGGGTTGTGTGCTTCCAGGATTTAGCGCTCGCATCCCCCTCGGTTCGTCGACAGGTACACCTTGCCTTTGCGTCGGGGAGGGGGATGATTTTCCCTCTATCCTTGTCGCACCTCTGCCAATGCGCTTCCGCTGCTGTCTTGCAGCAAAGTGCGCGCATAGATTTGCTTTTGAATTGAACCACTGCCAACTTCACGCGCTCCACGGAGCTATCTCCTAGCGGCATGATGATACCAAAGAAGGCCTTCGGGCTCGTTGTTTGCCTGCTTCTCGCGACAGGCCTTATACTTTTCTCGCGGACGGTGGGACACTCGCTCGCCGAGTACTTCTTCGGCCCGTATGGGCCAGTCATACCCTACACCACGCATATCGTGTTGTTCCAGTTCAAAGACGGCACCAGCAAGTTCGCTGTCAAGGAGGTTAGACGCGCGCAAGACCCACGCTGATGAGCGACGCTGAGACCACTTCTTAGGTGATTGCGCAATTCTTTGGGCTGAAGAAAACATGCATACATCCAACTACGCTCAGGCCGTACATTGTTTCGATCTCGGGAGGGAAGGATATCTCGACTGAGAATCTGCAGGTATTCAGCGCCGATCGAAGTTTGGAGATCGTCAACCGTCTGACCTTCTCGAACAGAACGGCATCAGCCACGCTTTTGTCCTGCAGTTCCATTCCATCGAAGACCGTGATTATTACGTTAATGACGATCCAGTCCACAAGACGTTCAAGGAGGCAGCAGCATCGGCACTCGAGAAGGCAATTGTCGTCGACTATCAAAATGGGGTTTTTACAAGTGTGTGATTCTAAGAAAAGCAGTCTATCTTGTGTTCGAAAGAACAACGCGTCCGAATACCCTCGCCAAACAGGCCTTTCCTTCGTCGCTGTACCATTACCCGCCAATTCGAAATACAGAAATAGCCAATCAACTCCAATACTCCAGATTATTACTCTCGCCAAGTAGACCTCCATGTCGTAAAACACCTCGCAACTCCAGCTCATCCGATCATCATCTCCAGGAACCCACCAGAGCTTCTCTCAATCCTCAATCCTTCATCATCTCGCTCGCCTCCTCCTCCCGTTCCCGCCTGTACTCGCATGCCCCCCTCTCTCCATTCGTTGCATGACAATGATAGTCGCATAAGTCAGGTTCATCAACTGAATCGAGCCCACCATGTCGAAAGTCGACAAATTGGCCCATAATCCTCGCTAGAAACGGAGCCGGTAACATTTCGATCCGGCTAGCCACCCAGCAGTCACTCCCGCTCCAGTAGCAGAAGCAATCGATGATCATACGTAGAAGTGGATCCTCATCATCTAAGTTCTTGACTGCGTAGACAACGTGGGAAAGATCTGGTAGTAGATCCTCATCGACAAGATACTCGAAGATCGTATCCAGACACTGCCGCTTGAGCTTAGGAACGTCGTATTTGTCGGAGAAGACGTAGAGCCTAACAAGCCGGTCAAATCGAAAGTTGGCGTCTTCGTCGCGGTGGTAGAGCGCGAGTAGCTGCGGAGAGTCGGCCTCTGTGGGGAAACGTTGACGATACAACCAGTTGGCGAACAGCTCGAAGATGTTCGCTTCAGTGTCAGGCAGGGTGACGACTTTGTCTTTGGCTTCTTTGAAGGGACCTTTCAGGGCAGCGAGAAAGAAGGGCGAGTAGTAGACAATAAGGTTGAGGTGCACAGTGAAGCGTTTTGCCTTGGGTCCAACAACGATCTCAGCCATGACGGTGTTAGGTGCTCTATCGAGGTTAGCATCTTGGGTAGTACTAGTACTCGGATATAATGACTTACGATATTCGGGGCTGTGTCTGTGACTGCTTTTGCTGGTTACTGGCCGACATGTTGTTACTGAGTAGATGGTATATAGAGGATAAAGGAGAGAGGAAGGGAGACAAGCGCGCGAAAGTCGGCTTTATATACACCTAGGCAGCCTCGTCTTAGAGTTGATGTCGTGGTCACTGCGGCGTTAAGTCCAGTGAGGGGATCCTTCACTACGACATATCAGACTTCGAGATCTGGGTCACCTCGGCATCTCGAGCGCGTGTAGGAGCAAATTACAAACGGGGTGAGGCAGTTGCACTGAGTTTCCTAAGGGGCTTGTGATCACCCGCCCTGTTTTAAAGACGTACGTTGCGTCACAAAGCTTGCTCGAAAGTTGCTTGACCAATCCGCGTGGAAGTCGTATTGAACGTCTGTTTGTTGTACATTTACACATTTGCTACAGAGGCTTCGCGGGATAACGTCCTCGCTTTCAAATTGACATGTTACGCCTTGACCTTCTTCATCTTCTCCATCTTCTCCTTATGCGCCCTTGTGCGCTCCTCCTTCTCTTGCTGTAACCTTCGGCTCCTTTCTACCATGTACTGCTGCTTTGCTGGTCCAACGACCTTGTTCGGGGCCTTGCCCATATCCACCTCCTCAGGGTAATGCATGGTCCTCTTCATCTCAATCTCTGGGTACACCTTCTTAGGCGCGGGCAATGTCCTCTTGTCCAGACCTGTGGAGTGTAGTATCCGTAACCTCTCAACCATGTCCCGCAAGCCATCTACGCCGTCCTTGCGGAATTGTGTGACCTTCTTGACGTGTGTTGTGATTCCTGGTGTCAGGCCTAAGTTTGCTGGTCTCCTTGCTAGTGTCTTTGCGGTCATGGCGAAGCGCATGTCTCTTGGTCCGTCTACGAGTTCGAGGATGGCGGATTCGGCTTGGTCTTCTTTCATGGGCTCGACGCGGAGTACTCGAGTGTAACCGCCGGGTCTGGATTCGTAGCGCTCTCTTATGGGGCCGAATAGCTTGGGTACCATCTCATTTGGTTCCTGATATTATCAGTACGCGCTCTGGGACAAGCCATTGGGGTTCGTACATAGAAGATCTGTGTCGCTCTCCGCCGTGTCGCTTCCGTGTTCTTCTTTCCGAGGGTAATCAGCTTCTCCGCTAACCGCTGTGCCTCCTTCGCCTTGTGCCATGTTGTCGCTATGGTTTCGTGCTTGAAGAGCGATGTGACGAGGTTCCGCAGGAGCGCTTGACGATGCGACGACGACCGACTGAGGTGGCGATATTTCATGTGACCGCCTGCCATGACGGGCAATTGGTTCTGTGTAGGCCGGGAAGGGCGTGGAGGATCTTGATGTTGCTGCTCTACCTCAACCTCTTGCACGCCGCGATACTGTCGCCCGCGAAAAGTTCGGGCATCGGCGGTCGCTTCCCCGACTCCACATCCCTGCCCACGCCTGCTCTGCTTATGCAATCAGCCACTTTAGCACTAAACGGATCCGTGACCCAAGCAACGCGACGGGACGCGTTTCTTCTCTTTACGCGTTATAAGTGTCCCTGCGTCCACCCACCCCTCACTCCTGCACTCTCCTCAATACATCCTCTTCACGATACCCACACATATACCCCCCACTACTCTTCTAATTCAACATGTTCGTCCTCAAGCGTGGTATGTACTGCTTTGCCTTCACCGCCTCAAATCTTCACCACTAACGATTGACTTCAGATGGACGCAAGGAACGCGTGCAGTTCGACAAGATCACAGCACGAGTCTCAAGGCTGTGTTACGGCCTCGACCCGGACCATGTTGACCCCGCCGCCATCACCATGAAGGTCATTTCTGGTGTCTACCAGGGTGTCAACACCGTCCAGCTAGACGACTTGGTACGGCTTTCGATGAGTTGAATGTCTTTCCAGTGGCTAACAGACGACAGGCCGCCGAGACAGCAGCATACATGACCACCACACATCCCGACTACGCCATCCTCGCTGCGCGTATCGCCGTATCAAATCTTCACAAGCAGACACAGAAGCAATTCTCTGTCGTTGTAGAAGAGCTGTACAACTATGTCAACCCCAAGAACAACACCCGCCAACCCATGATCTCTGATTACATCTACAAGATCATCATGGACAACGCCGACGAGCTCAACTCGGCTATAGTCTACGACCGCGACTTCAACTACCAGTTCTTCGGCTTCAAGACGCTTGAGCGCTCATATCTCCTCCGCATCAACGGCAAGGTCGCCGAGCGCCCACAACACATGCTTATGCGTGTCGCTGTCGGCATTCATGGAGCCGACATTGAGAAGGCCATCGAGACCTACGACTACATGTCTCAAAAGTACTTCACACACGCCTCGCCCACACTGTTCAACGCGGGTACACCATCGCCACAAATGTCGTCATGCTTCCTCATCGACATGAAGGAGGACAGCATTGACGGTATCTACGACACACTCAAGACATGTGCGTTGATCTCCAAGACTGCCGGCGGTATTGGTCTCAACGTCCACCGCATTCGTGCTACTGGCTCATACATTGGTGGCACCAATGGAACATCCAACGGTCTCATCCCTATGCTCCGTGTGTACAACAACACTGCTCGCTATGTCGACCAAGGTGGCAACAAGCGTCCCGGTGCTTTCGCCATCTACCTCGAGCCGTGGCACGCCGACGTCTTCGGCTTCCTCGACCTGCGCAAGAACCACGGCAAAGAGGAGGTCCGTGCTCGTGACCTTTTCTACGCTCTATGGATTCCCGACCTGTTCATGAAGCGTGTCCAAGACAATGGAAACTGGACACTCATGTGCCCCAACGAGTGCCCCGGCCTTGCCGATGTCTATGGTGATGAGTTTGAGGCTCTGTACGAGAGCTACGAGAAGCAGAACAAGGGTCGTGAGACTGTCCGTGCCCAGAAGCTCTGGTATGCCATCCTTGAGGCTCAGACCGAGACTGGTAACCCCTTCATGCTTTACAAGGATGCTTGCAACCGCAAGAGCAACCAGAAGAACCTCGGTACCATCCGCAGCTCCAACCTGTGCACCGAAATCGTCGAGTACACTGCTCCTGATGAGGTTGCCGTTTGCAACTTGGCTTCTCTTGCCCTGCCTTCCTTCGTCGACTACAAGCGTGGCGAGTTTGACTTCAAGAAGCTCCACGAAGTCACACAGGTCGTCACCCGCAACCTGAACAAGATCATCGAGGTCAACCACTACCCAGTCGAAGAGGCACGCCGCAGCAACTTCCGCCACCGACCCATCGGTATGGGTGTCCAGGGTCTCGCTGATGCCTTCCTTGCCCTCCGCATGCCTTTCGAGTCCAATGAAGCGAGGAAGCTCAACATTCAGATCTTCGAGACCATCTACCACGCTGCTCTCACTTCCTCATGCGATATCGCAAAGGAGCTTGGTCCCTACGAGACCTACCCGGGATCCCCCGTCTCTCAGGGTCAACTGCAGTATGACATGTGGGGTGTCGAACCTACGGACCTTTGGGACTGGGCTGCCTTGAAGGCAAAGATCGCTGAGCACGGTGTACGCAACTCCTTGCTCATTGCGCCTATGCCAACTGCGTCTACATCACAGATTCTGGGCAATAACGAGTGCTTCGAGCCATACACATCCAACATCTACTCTCGCCGTGTGCTCGCGGGTGAGTTCCAGGTTGTCAACCCATGGTTGCTCAAGGATCTCGTCGACATGGGCCTCTGGTCTGAGAACATGAAGAACCGTATCATCGCTGACGGCGGTTCAATTGCCAGGATTCCCAACATCCCCGAGGAGACCAAGACGCTCTACAAGACCGTGTGGGAGATCTCGCAGAAGAGGATCATTGAGATGGCCGCTGACCGTGGTGCATTCATTGACCAGTCCCAATCTCTCAACATCCACATGAAGGAGCCTACCATGGGTAAGATCACTTCCATGCACTTTGCTGGCTGGAAGGCTGGCCTCAAGACTGGCATGTACTACCTCCGTACCATGGCTGCTTCAGCACCTATCCAGTTTACTGTCGACCAAGAGGCCCTCAACGTCGTAGACACCAACGTTGCTCGTGCTCTGCCCAAGGTACGAAAGCAACCGGGTTTCCAGCCTGAGGCTATTCGACACTCACCTGTCACTGCTTCTCAAACCCCATCCTCAGCACCTCGCCCAATGTATGCCACCAAGCCTACCAACGGTGAGGAGAAGAAAGAGGAGGAAAACGGTGTTCCCACCCCAGATGCCACCCCAGAGGCCACCGCAACGCCTGTCACAGAGACCCGCAACGCTCTCGCAAGCAAGCCTTTCAAGGCCGATGTGGAGGAGGGCGCGAGCCCAAAGATGGTAGCTGCTGATGCAGCCGTCAAGCCGGACGAGGAGATCACCAGGAAGGACAAACAAGATGAGGACTCCAAGGATGACAGCGAGGACCGGGATGGTGACATCTATGCTGAAGCCGCCCTTGCTTGCTCGATAGAGAACCCTGAGTCCTGCGTCATGTGCAGTGGTTAAGCACCGCAATGTACATTTGCAGGGCTGGTTTAGGTAAGAGCAGCGCTCTTACGCATATGGTCTTTCCGCTTGTTTTCGGCGTTGGCGGTCTTTACGCGTAGGTACGCTTGGATTAACGCAAGGGGGTACGAGCTCATGAGTTGGATGTGTTTATTGTCAAGTCATAATGTATGTAGCGAACACAACGTTCTTTCGAACACACTTTTCCCACACATGCACATGTGTCTGCCCACCGTGATGTCCTCAGTTCCCCACGCTCCAACACTAGCGTGCTACGTTCCGAAAGCCGCGGCTTAATTCCGAACAGGAAGCTACATCTTCCCCACATTGCGCCCTACAGCAGTACAACCAGCACGCGCCCTTGGAAGTACATACTACTCGGCGTACCTCTATAAACACATTTTGAAGTACTGCACATCGTAAGCATCTTTCTCCACTCAATTCCCTCAACCAAGAAGCTAACACGCGCACCTTCTCGTAGCTTTCCCGCTCTCACTGCCACGCTCCGACTACCGCAGCCCCACACGCCCACCGTCTTGCTCCAAGAGACATATGTTTGCCCTCCGCACCTTCCG